CTTAAAAGTATTTATTATGATATATTTATATTAAAAATATTGCAAGATTTAATAATGATATTATTAAATTAAGATTAAAGTATAATAGGGTATTAAGCGGCCCAAGCAAAATGGATGAGCGCCCCGAGCAATTAACCACCTAGCAGAGGCTCGGCTCTCAAATGATCTCAAATGATCAAGCAGCTTGAGCTTTCAAGATGACCCGATCGCAGCGCCCACACTGCGCTGGATTTATACTCATTACTCTCCTTTGTTTGCTCTGCATTGGCCTTGTCGTGTGGAGGACAGACGGGATGGACGCGCCTGTCCAGCCACCTCCGTCCGTAATCACCCTCGGCGACGCGACTTATTTCATACCGACAACCTTTAAGGTACAGGCTCGACCATGGTAACTGGGCAAAGTTCAGAAATAACATTTTGCATCTTCTTAGCATCAAAGCCCGCTTTCCGACAAACTGGCTACAGGGCCGTGCACCGTCATTCGCGTCTCTAGTCCGTACATCACAGCAGATGATCTGAATGACATTCGAGAGAAGCTTTCACAGGACGATGTTTGGACGACCGATTTTCTCCAGAACCTCATTTTGCAGTCAGCAACGTTTCACAAAGACGTCCGAACCAGCCCTTCCGCTCGGCGGACGCTCGAGACTTGGCGAAGCCGAGTTTTATTCCATGGCACGTCAGAAATTCTAGACGCGCCATCGGGGCCTTATTTCTGCGACGCTGGCCGGTTGCACGAAGTGTATCGACTGTATCCCGATACAGCTGGGGCATTCATGAGTGCCACGGTTCAGTCACCCAACGACCCATATCTGTGAGTAAAGTTAAGCTTTTGCTGTCCTATGGCTGTTAACGACCCTCACTAGCTACACGTCCTTGAACGTGTCTGTATTCACAGGAGAATTTCCTGCGACATTGACTGTCGGTGTACCCTCACGCCTATACTTTACGCCTAGCAGGGAAAAGCCGTTGGCCGGTCTCCGTATCGCAGTCAAAGACACTCAGAATGTCCGGGGAGTCAAGACGACGGGTTCGTCCCGTGCCTGGGCTCGACTTTACGGGCCACAGGAAAAGAGCGCCACTGGGGTACAACGCCTGCTAGAGCATGGCGCCATTGTAGTTGGTAAGCTCAAGTCAACACAGTTTGGCGAGAGTGAGTGGGCTACCCGCGACTGGGTGGATTATCATGCGCCCTGGAATCCACGGGGGGATGGATATCAAACTCCTAGCGCGAGTAGCTCTGGTAGTGCCGCCGCTGTGGCCGCCTACGACTGGTTAGACTTGTCTACTGGCACAGATTGTACGTCTCAACACGCTATTCTATGCGTTGTCACTGTCACTGACACAATAAATATAGGTAGCGGAAGTGTTCGAGCCCCTGCCGCTGTTCATGGATTATTTGGGATCCGGCCATCAACAGATGCTATAGACAATGAAGGCGTCATCCCATTCTCAAAGAACTTTGACACCTTTGGAATTTTCACAAGGGACATGGGAACTCTTGCGTTGACATCATCGGTTCTTTATAATCAAAAAGGAGAAATTCCTGCCTGCTTTAAGGTCAGAAAACTAAGATGCACCCTTGAACGCTCACGCTCATGTAGTAATAGAAGCCCAAGCGGATTATATATCTCAGTGAATACTGGCCGGTTGGAGACGAGGCAAGCTCGGTGGTATTTGAAGACACTATCCGACAACTTGAAAGCACCCTCGGTATAAAAAAAACGGAGCTCAGCCTAGGTAGACTTTGGTCGGAATCAAACACTTTGGGAACTGACCTTTCGATTGATGACTATTTCAAAACGACGTTCGTCGATGCATCGGCTCCAGACCAATGGGCTATGCTCAAGGCATTTCATACAGAATACGAGAACGCATTTGGTCATGCTCCTCCGCTAAACCCCCAACTTCAGTGGAAAATGTGAGGTGCCTCTTGAGCTGCTAATCATATCGTGCTAACATATCTTGAGGAAATTTTTACCAAACCAGACAGTTGAACAGCAGAAACAAGGAGAAAAGGACATTAAAGTCTTCCGTACTTGGTTCGAAAAGTACGTCATGCAGGCGGACGAAAATGGCTGCTCTGAAAGCATCTTGGTATTACCGTGGACACAAGGTGAACCTAGCTACAGAGACGAATACGATGTGTATATATCCCCCTATTAGTGCAACTTGACTTTTGCTAACACTTTCCAGACAACCGTCTTGGACTGGCGAAGGCTGGTTTTTTCATTTTATCGCTGTATATGCGGGAGCCCCTGAGGTTATTTTGCCAAGTGCGTCTGGTTGTTCATCTTTTTTTCATCTGACACTGCCTGGCACTAATAAAATTTCTCAAGTTGGCCAAACGCCATATCAGTCTCGGTTGACAAAGAGGCAGGAGTGGCTTCCAGTTGCTATTGGGCTCCTGGGTGCAAGAGGCACAGATGCGGCCTTCACCGCTTTTATAAAGGATACAGTAAAGGCCGCGAAACTGCCGACAACGGTCAATGTTGGTCGGACCGCATTCAAGCCGAGTATATCCGAGGCTAATAGCGCTGTCGCTGCTCCGGTAGAGAGGATACTTATACATCAAGATCCTAAATAACGGGACATTGCTTGGTGGCATTTGTTGCTTGAGTAGTCTCCCAGACACGCCAATGTTTGATCCAACGATTCTTCTTTGGCAAGGCATCAGCAACCACAAGTATTTCTTGGCGGACCTTTTTTTGGGGTGTAGTGCTCGCTATAATGTGCCGCAGCTTATGGCTCGTGGCAGTTATGCATTCAATACTCGATACTGAATATGATGTCGTATTGAAAAAGTCAATATTGAAGAAGTCTGTATTGAGTACCGGAGATTAGATTATTGAGAAGCGTTGAGGATATTAATAGGGGCTATTCAATACCAAATGCATCACGCCAAGAGACCACCAAAGGCTTCCGTGACACCGGTGCTGCAAAACAACAACGACATGCGCTTTTGATACTCGTGGCGCTTGTAGTATGCTGAGGTGATGCAAACAATGGCTGGTGGCACGCCGGCTTCAAAGATGCCCAGCAGAAATCGGAGCCCTACGAGAGCCTGGTAGCTATGGACGAAGCCCATGCACATGTTGACTCCCCAAATGAACATCAAAGTAGACACGTATGATGACGGACGCACTTTCTTTGAATCATATTGGACGGAATCTTGAGCAAAATATGGAAAGCGTAATAGACCTGCAGACTCCCTGTCAGCCAGCTTCACCAGTGCGCATGTAGTTTGGCGGTGCGCGGCCATGGACGTATGTCACACGGATTAGGTCAAGCAAGGATTAGAAGCCCTTTGTTACACAGGGAGATCACGAGAACTATGGGGCACAATAGGCACGTGCCATTCCTTTCATGTATATAAGATGGTCTCCCCTCGCCTTCTGGCTTGGAGGAACCAAGGACCTTTGACATCCTACAAGATTATCATTGAATTGAGCCCTTTTGCTTCAAGCCCTCCATTGAGCCCTTGTCACAACGTACAAGCAGAGTAACGTTGAATTTCTTGCCGGAGAGGTCCAAATCCTTGGGCCTACTTGAATTATCGCATTGCTTATGTTAATTCGATCCAGAAACGACACCATGTATATAATGAAAAACGTCGGAATGATAATCACGTCCAGTTTTCGAACTAGCCTTCGCTCAGCAGCTGCGTCAATGTTTCCATGGGAGGAGATGTCCAGGGCATTGACATAAGCATCATCTATGCACACGTTGTCTCCAGGCTCGAGTTAAGACTTCTCTTGTTTTGCGGATGACCATGATTTCGATTTTACAACATTCCAAATGAGGAGCGACAGGTTTTGCTTGCCGTCGCCAATAACCCACTACTGCGAGGCTAGTATAGCAAGTGATGCAGCTGTCGGTAAGATGAGGAGCCGTCTGTTTAGATGAAGGAACTACAATTAGAAGGACTGGGAAAAATGTAGGAAACAATACATAAAGTAATGTCTAGTCGCTTGTCATTTCGGGGAACCGAGATAGACATTGGGCACATAGTGCATACAGGTTGTGACAGCCAGTCGCAACATGGGGATGGCAAGATTCTTGGTCCCAACTTATTCAAGCATTCATCGGCCTCTGTTGAACGGGGAATCTGTTGCATTGACTAAAGTGGCATGTCATGAAACGGGCCTAGGTGGGCAGAACGTCCAGTTCCACATAATACCAATTGAGCTAATCAGTTAGAGATTCTGCAAGCCATGGTTTCGCATACATGCTCTGTTGGCATCTCACCAGCCTAACAAGGATAAATACTGGGTAGTGGGCGTACAAGCCGTTGCAGTATCAGGCAAGTCATCAAGTAGTGCACCAGTTCAGCGTCACCACCGGCTTCAACAGTGCCCAAGCTAGGGATCACGAAGGATGAGAAATTTTCGCATTTATAGGGCAGACTGTACCTTCTGTTGACGGCTTTTCCATTCCTCGAACATTTCAGACTATCAAGGTTGCCGGGCTCCCTTGGATGAGAGCCGTGGCAAGGCATGCGGATAGGTGACTCTTACAATGGGTCAAATCGGATGGACCAGCCATCAAGTAGCAAGTGATGTTCAAATTATAGTGACATGCCGTGTTTGGTCGTCGATTATTACAACAAAAGTACAGGTTCACCGCAAATGTGCCTCCAATTGTGGAGGTCATAGCATCAATTTTAGAGGATGAGATGCCGCTTTTAGAGGACAATTTGCGAAGCGCCGAGGCCGAGTTCGGTCGGCCCCACCCCTCCATGTTAGCGCTACCGGTCGGGAACCCACAGCACGGCGCTTGCCTTGATTAAACCTTTAAAAGGCTAGAATTAATATCTTTAATAATAGCTTTAATTCTATTCTTATAAGTAATATTAATAAAGGTTATAATATAAATTTAAGGTTAAAAGAGCTTAATTTAATAAAGTTATTAAATGTTAAAAAAAGAGCTCTTATATTAATTACGTTATATAATATGGCGAAATTAGGGGGCTAACGATATTATAGGGCGGCACGTTACGTTATATCCCTCCCGAACTGTAGACTCGACTACTCGTGCTACGCCTAGAGCATTAATAAGTAAACTACATTTTCATTTTTTAAAAAAGCTATTAGCTTATATAAAAAAGTGGATTCTTTTAGCTTATTATAAGCTTAAAAACTAGATTATATAATTTTCTAAAAACATATTATACTATATAGTTTATACTATACTATAAAAACTACATTTTATAGTTTTTAAAGTTCTAGGCTTATAAAAGCTTATAAGGACCCACTTTTCTATATTAGCTTATAGTACCACGCCCCACTATTTTACACCTTTAGGTGGTGAGTGAAACGAGCCCCCTAAAATAGTGGGGCGTGGCACGATTAGTCTGCCTAAACTTCGCGAAGAATGTCTTTCATCCAATAACACGACTCGGGATTTATGCTCTTCTATCTCTCTCCGTTAGGAAATATCTTCTGTCTTAAAGCTTGTTATATGGTGTGGAATTCTCACCCGTTATCTTTTAATATGTTCTCTGCTATATTAGCGACCAGACTAAGCCTGTTATCCCTCGCATAATTCCAACTAGTAATTTGGTACTCGAATTTTATGCATATCCCCTCTAGTGTGTTAAGGCTCTAATCGAGTATCTACAGGAATATATATCTAATAAGAAGCTAAATTTAAAAAGGTACATTTACTTACTAAAAAATTAAGTGATAATAAGTATACTTAAAAAATTAATGTCTTATAAGTTACTACATTTAACTCTATATAATCCTAGCAGGCTTAATGGGTCGCCTTACGGTCACCCGCTATTAGCATGGGCATTATGGGGGTCGTAACCCCACTGGAGCCTTAACACACCAGAGGGGATTGCGTGGAGAAACAGGCACCAGATATCCAGCTACCTCTTCCGCGGGGAACGTGACTTCGTACGCTTAACAGGTGGTCTAATATCAAGCGACAGTTCGTCTGCCGATGTCTCAGACTCATTTGATAGTGGCACAGGTGAACCGGGATACTTGGTGGTTTGTTGGCTAGTAACTATGGTTTCAGCAGCAGATGTCCCGCTTGTGAAGCTCAGTCCTAAGCTATCGTCGACCAGCGAGGCACCGGCTTCGATGATAGCTTGTCTCTCGTTTGCCTGACTGATCGCATCATCCCTCTGTCGCCTTGCCCAGCCTCTGCCATTCCGATACGCAGCAACTCCTTGTCGAAAGGTATCGGCATCGCCAGTCAAGGCCCAAGTTTTGATTTGTGTCATGGCAAAGCCGTTTTTGTTTCCGGGAGCCGACGGGGGTATTGGATGAGTGGTATACATCTTAAGTTGACCACCATGGTATATGGATGTGAGGGTGTAAGCATTGTTATCATATTGCGACTCCGCCTGGCCATATGACTGCAAACAGTGGACCCCTCTCGCTCCTAGTGCACCATCGTAACACGCTTGTCGAGAGGCGACTGAGAGAGATCCATCAGGACCCTTCACATGGAGAAAGAAATTTGGTGCCACAGGCAGATGGTCCTGGGTCGAAGGTTCAATCTTGCCGCTCAGCTGCTTCCGTACTTTTTGTTGAAGCTGTTCGGGACGTGCTCCGTAATATATGTCCGGGTTCCCGGCCACGAGCGAGCCATCAGTCAAGTGATCGAGGTTATTAAATGGAATCTGCCCTGCGGTACACTTGGGATCTTCCAACTTTCCTTCAATGATTGGAATCACTCTTGCCATAACCTGTGCCTCCTTGGCAGCGTGTGTATCTGCGTCTTGAAACGAATCGAACGCGCCGTCAGAAAACTGCGAGGGCGAAAGCGAGGGCCGGGGTTGCCCGAGGGTTCGTTTGATTTCGTCCATGTTGTCTGGTTGTCGCGGGCCACTGCCATTTGGATAGGTATATCGAGGAGGGTAGATCTCATGGTTGATCAAATGTTGCTGGAAATTAGTATCGTATGGACCTGTGCTCTTTGTTGTGGCCGTGTTCGGTGCACCACTTCTTTTAACAGGAGACTGGGAGCCTCGTTTTCGGCGGCCAAGACTCGAGTCTCGAGAGCTCATGTTGTATTTTGGGCCAGTAAAGGGATACTGCGAATGGTCAGCCTCGGTATTGCGTGGGCACAGGCATCTTTACCCCTCTTAAATCCCTGAGATCTGGACCACCGTGGGATGCAAAACGCTTGACTTTTTCCAAATATGTTGGAGTGCTGCGACGGAGAAATTCCTGAGCCTGCTCGGTTCTTGGATCGAGAGGCCTCCAAATAGCCAGCCGCTCGCTCCGTCTGGGTCGCGTAAGACTAGATTTTGCGGGACAGGGGTCTTCGATATCGTCTAAAGCTTGTAATGCTCCCTTTGTAAGATGCAGTTTGGAGTGGGGATATTTAGATAAGTTCTCCCAGTATGTCGTTGGCGGGAAATCTGGATGGCTCAACTTTTGTTTCTTCGATGAGAACCCAGACGCGTCGGCATGCAGTGATAGATCTGAGTACGAGGAATGTCGACGCTTGTGTGAGCCGTAATCAACGTGTCGTCCGTATGGTGTGCGTCGCGGCATGGACATTCTTGAGCGGTTGACATAGCTGAGGAATCGATGGTGTAGAGTGGCATTTATGTATAATACCAGTCGTGTCCATTCAGGATCGATATCGGAGAGTACTGTGAGCTTGATGTTGTGGCAATGTCTGGTTAGTTGCTATTAAGAAGCCCCGCTTTTACACCAGCGCTGAAAACCAATCAGTTGACTCTCCCAAGGTACCGACTGTTGGTGGGAGCCATGCCAATCCCCTCTAGTGTGCGAAGGCTCTAGTAAGGTATCTGCAAGGATGTTTATCCAATAAGAAGCTAGATTCTTAAAGGTACATAGATTTACTAGTAATTTAGGTGATAATAGAAGACCTAGTAAGAAGATTTATTATGCAGTATAATATTACACATATTATAGCTTAAAGCTAAAGCATTAATAAGAAAACTATATTTTTAATTTTTAAAAAAGCTTAAATATTTAATAATAAATATAATAAAATACCTAAATTGTAATAATAAATTTCATAAACTAGCTATTATTATTATAAGTATTTTATTAGATTTAATATAATTTATTATATTAGAAACTATAAGAACTATAGAAACTATAATAACTATAAAAACTATAAAAACTATAAAAACTATAAAAACTATAAAAACTATAAAAACTATAAAAACTATAAAAACTATAAAAACTATAAAAACTATAAAATTATAAAACTATAAAACTATACTATAGTTAATGCTCTAGCTATTAGAATAAGACTAGCTAATTTATTATAAATAACGCGTTTTTTATTATTAAGTTTATTTTTTTAACTTAAAGTTACATAGTATTTATTCTATCAACTATTTTTTACTTATATTTTATGCAGGGAAAAACCACACACAAGATAAAGGATCGTAAAAAAACTCTTAAAATACCGGTTAAAATACTAGTAAATATAACAGCTATAAGGGCTAAGAAAGTTAAGGTTCTATTTTTCTAGGAAGGCTTTAAAAAGCTAGTTATATAATTGTATGTCACGTGACATGTTACGTGATACGGTACGTGACTAGAGGCCACGTTACTAGCTAAATTAAGCTGCGATATACGTGTAACGGTGGCTTAGGTTCTAAGGCACAGTAGGTCTATTTCTTAGGAAGTAAGTTAGGTTAAATGCTATAGAGTAGCTTTTAAGTAGTATTATAATAAGGCCGTTAAGAGTATAACTCTTAATAATAAGACTATTACTTAGATTAATTAATAGAGAATTAGACTATTTAACTATAAGAATACTTTCTCCTTAAGTATTCGTTTATCTCTTTATTATAGTCCTAAATTAAATAGATTCTATTTAATCTCTCGTATTAGATTAGGTTAATCCCCTTTAATCTATTAAGTTAAATTAAACTAATTCTATTTAATCCCCTCACGTGACCTACGATCCCGTTAGCCCTATTCTTATTTATATACTAGTAGCTTATAACGCTAGCTAGCTGCTTTAGGTACCCTTAGTTTATAATATAATACTTCTCAACTATTAGTCTTATTCTTAAGGCTATTTCGTTTCGTTTAGTAAGCATTCTCTTTCTTCCTCTCTTTTCCCTTTTTTCTTTCTTTGTTATTCTTTTTATAATGTCTTTTAACCGTATTTCGAAATAGCGGTTTAAAGCTTTATCTGCTTCTTCCCTTTGCTGGGATAACCTTCTTTTTGCGATAATTAATAATTTGTCTTTATCCTTTATAAAGGCTTGCGCTCGCTGCGCTTGTATGGGACTTCCCTAATGTGAAGCCTTCGTTTTTAATTTGAGTTGTTAGATGGTACTTAAGAGATTAATTAGGATGCGTTTCTTAGAAATAAAACTAT